GTAATTTTGTCAAGTTAAAGAAATTAACGTAAATTGCTGTTAACGATTTCTATAAAACACCTTACAATATTCTTTTCAAACCAAAAAAGCTAATTTTGGACATTCAGGATGTTAACTGAGCCAATACAACACCATTTTTTTTTTAAAAATAGTTTATTAGATTTTATAAACAAAAAAAAAGAGTATAAAGTCTCACTATTAACTGATAATATCCTTAACAAATGAAATACCGGTAGTTGATAATCTATATTTTAATGTGCGAAATATTTTTAGAAAAGCAATTTCGTGTTTCAATGCATATTCTAATCAGTAACACACGAAACCACACTATCATTTTAGGGCGATTCTTTCGTTACGTGTGTTATTTTTACACGACATATTTCAACTTTAACACTTATTATAATAAACTTTTTAGATATTTTTTATGTTTTTCTTAATTTGTTGTTAAATCTATATGTGTTGTAAGTTTTCAAAACGAAGATTGAAGGCGCAAACTAGTTTGATGTTGAAAAAAAAAATTTCTGAAATTTTGTTACGTGTGTTACCCTTTATAATGCTAGATATTTGAAACTTTGAATANATCTACCGGCAACTGCTTAAATTAAAACTTGAATGCTTTCGGAAAAATTTCATATGTTCTTTTTCGACATATTTGTCTTCGTTTTTTTACTATAACGCTTCGAAATCCCAGAGGGAATTATTAATAACCCTGTATTTATTTATCAATTCTTATAGACATTATACAAGCATTTAAAACTATGACATAAACGATTGTCCAAATTAGGTAATGCTAACTTTCCCCATAAATTAATCATTTAAAGTAATAAGATGACCCAAAATTCAATGAAAAAAGTTATTATGAGATTAATTTTACTTAAATAGAAAAGTATATTGCATTTAGGTGTGAATATTTAGTACATATGACAAACATATCAAGAGAAATGGCAGAGGTTATTGTTCCCTCCTCTTGAGAAGTACCCTATAATACATTCTAAATCCAAAAGAAATGTTCTAGAATCAGTAAAATAAGTTAAATTATGAGGTTTAATGAGGACGCTAGGATACGTACAATTGTGCTACGTACAAATGTATATGGACATAACATTTTGACTATTGTAATGGAGAAATAAATTTTAAACTTTCTAAGGGATAAGATTGCCAATGCCTAAATTATTAGAGTATATTTGATAGATTTTATAAAAGGATTAATTGATTTTGATTTATTTAATTCAATTTATTGTTATTTTGTGAAAAAATTCCAGGAATGAAACATTTTATGTTTATTTATTTAAAATGTTGATTAGTGTAGGGATTTTATTATTTTTAAACAGCTGTTGTAAAATATGTTTTTACCGAATTTTTTTTAATAATATGACCTGCCTTTCAGCTGCCGTACTTTCAAAAACAACTGCTCAAAGAAATACTACTTTATAAAAAGTTGTACCAGAAGAAGTCATTAAATAATCTCGATTAACTTTCTCAGATAGATTTCAAGATCTGTAATTAATCTTAAATAGACGGGAAGAAACTAGCACCACGACTAACTTTTGATCTATTGATCGAAATATCACTCACGAAGACCCTATCTAAATAGTTTCAGGATGTAGCCTTAAATATGCTAATTACTATGTGTAAACGATGTTTTAGTAAGTTGCGAAGTCAGTCACAAAAACGCACTTTCTCTAAATAAACATACCTTTCTTCGGCGGATTTGGATTCTTGACTTTTATTAATTGATTTCATTGAGTTCTTTCATTTTTTTGCGTAATTCACTATATTATATACTATTTTACTACAATTTTATATAACACTTATGGTATTGCGATATAATAATAAACGAATAATTCTTTTTCAACTAGTGTTTTTTTTTAAAAAAATTAGTTAAATGGAAATACTTTATCATTTTTGGTAATATTTTTAACTCATAAAAAGATTTATACCTAAAAGATAACCGTTGATTGATAAACCATTAATAACAATATATTATATAATAGTATTTGCAATTAAAAATATATGAAGTATTAATAATATTTTATAATGATCCGCGTTGTCAACTTCAAATTAATCTTAGAATCTTAATGAATCTCTTGAAAAATATTTAATTGTTATAAATTTGAGTTTGATGGACTGAATGGAATCGGACATTATATAATATTCAATGAGGTGCTTTATTTTCGATGCTTTTTCCGGAGTTTTTTTTTCCCAAGAGTTTTTCTTCCGGTGCTCTTTTTTCCATAATTCGTTGCAACAATAGGTACCTTGAAAGACGAATAATTCGTTAATTAATTTCTCATTGTCTATGTAAGATTGTTCAGACCATCAACTTCATCCTAGAGAAAAATATTTAATAAATTTTTCTGGTCTTTTACTACCAATGTGAGATAGTTCAGATGATCAACTTTAACCTAAAGAAGATTATTTAATAAATTTTCTGGTCTCTTACTACCTATGTGAGATCGTTCAGACGATCAACTTTAACCTAGAGATGATTATTTAATAACTTTTTCTGGTCTTTTACTACCTATGTGAGATCGTTCAGACGATCAACTTTTACCTAAAGAAGATTACTTAATAACTTTTTCTGGTCTTTTACTACCTATGTGAGATCGTTCAGACGATAAATTATCCTAGAGAAGATTATTCAGTAAATATTTTGGTCTTTTTTAAAAATCTTGTTAACAATCTTCTAGTCAACAGTATTTTTACTACAAATTTATATTTGAAATGTTTATCACATCGTTATACTTTTTTCAACATTAAAATAGATTTTCTTTCAACAATACAAACTGGAGAGTATCAAAATTAAGCGAATTCGCACTCTTTTATGCCAAAACTGAGAAAAATAGATATCTGCTTTCAAACAGATTTCAAGTTTACTCTTCTCTGTAATCTATCCTCTCTACTTGGCTTACAGTCTAACCATCCATATCAGAACATAAATAAACTATTTCCAGACTTGTGTCAACTGCAACACGATATTCATACATCAAAATTCAGCTTATGGAGAAATCCCATCGATTTTCCACTTTCTCGTTTGCTGTCTTGGGGGGAGGGGGTCGTAAATTTATCATTACACCCCACTCTGATGGTTCTCTTCTTGTAAACGGGAAAAAATCCTGCAGAACTTTTTTTTTTATCTTTGGAGGGGTGGAGAGATTTTGTTTTATATATTTTTCTGTTCAAACTCACTTAACAAATTGAAGGAAAGCATTTAGGGTAGCCACCCATCAAAAATTTTCAAGATGAACATTTTGTTTGTCTTATCGAACGATGCATTTTTCCAAATTTGATTACCTTGATAGTTCTGATGCTTTTACTTTATTTATTTGCCAACATAAAAAATTTTAAATTTTTTTTTTAATATTTTATAAAACTAACCAAAACAAACGAAAAAAAGCAATGATAGGAATCTCAATAAATATTTTGCACGAAATTCATTTCTAGTTCTCTAAATTCGATACTAATGGAAATTTTCAACTTGCAACATTTCTTAAAGTAACAATTAATTTAATAAGGCTTTCCGAAATTCATAGGTGAAGCTTTTAAGTAACAACAAATAAATTTCTATGCTAATTATGGAATTTTAATATTAAAAACAATAGTTTTGCAAACATCAACAGCCTTTTTGTAATGCTAGGAAAGTTGAATTGCTTAATATTTGAAAATTAGCCAAATGTCACATTATTAAGACTCATTGAAATGCGCTCACATGAAAATGAGTATGAAAATTGCTTGATTTCAATTTATTTCCAAATAAGTGAATAAAGATTGCCAAATTTGAGAATTTAAAAAAAAGTTTTTTTTTTTTATTATTATTTAAATTGTTTTTTTAAAGTCTCGGTTGTTCTTTACTGAAAAACAGAACAAAGTTACAGTTTAAAACTATAGCTTTGCTTCAAGTTTAAGGTACTTAAATTGTGATCTTTTTGTTCTTGTTTTCGTCAGTGAAAAGTCTTCGGAAAACACCCACAAAACTACACAAAAACTGTCTGAAAATTTAATCAAAAGTTTTTTTTCTTCCAATTTTCATTAATAACATTGGAGGAAAAAAGAAGTTCTTAAATGTTTGCATCATAAAAATTTTTGTTTCCTGGAGTTCAATATTAGATATGCCATTTTGAATTTAATTGGGGCAAAACAATTCTTCAAAAGCAGCCTCAGAAAAACTTGATAAAATGAGTTAGTTAGTAAATTTTGGACGCCATGTTGAATTCAATATTTTGATTTTATGTTTTCCAACCTGATTTTGATTGGTTTTTTTTTAAAAAAAAATGTCTAATTACAAGTTTTCTGAAAAGTTGGACTGGTAAGGTTAATTAGGTCCCCGTCCCCCCCAAATAGGGGCATGGGTAAGAAAATAAGGTTATTCTTTTTGATGGAATATTACAATATAGAAAGTGGTGTTGAATAAAAAAATTTTTTAAAAAGACAGCCAGTTGTTTCGGTACCATAAACAAGTGCCCTTATAGCGATACTCAACGATGTATTGGAATTTCCATATCGGAAATTTGCTGACTTAATATCATTCACACATAGAAGAAAGTAGCTTTATCTTAGAGCTGGAATGTAATAAAGGGAATGATAAAGCTTGAATAAAGAAAATTTTTAAAACAGTCAACCGTTTCGGTACTAATGAAAGTTTCCATTATCATCATAGGAAATACTCAACGACAGATTTGATTCGTCGTCTTGAAATCTGGTAACCTGACATTGTATTGGTATGTAGAAGAAAGTAAGTTATTTTTGACCCGGAGTATGATATAAGAAATAATGATCAATGTATAAATGAAAAAAGGCAATCTTTTCGGGACTTTGATCAAGTAAAACAACCCCTGACAAGATTCAATGGCAATTTTAATTCAACGTAACTAAATCTCAAGAAGTTGCAAATGTACAAAATATTATTATGCTTATTATACAAAATATTATTATGTAAACAATATTATTATGCTTTGTGTAACGATAAAAACAGTATACAATAATAAACTAAAAGCTCTTACCGTTCATAAAAATGATGAGAGAAACTTCTAAAAGCATCGTGCATATTTATGCATAGTCGTGCAGTCAGACTTTGGCAGAGAAGTTGTTTATTTCATTCAGCTTTTTAATCATATCCTAAAACAGAAAAAAATAAATATATGCTTTTTAACTACATTCTCAAACTAAAACAAATAATTTGTTTCTTCACTAATATATCTGTAATTTATGCATTTTTTCCTAATTGAAAGAATTTTTTTTTCATTATTGGTATATTTTTATTGTTCATTTTTGAGTCCAATATTAGTCATTTCGAAAGCAGTCAACTTTCTTTTTAAAGACTAAATGCAATTTTTCTTATTTACAAAACAATGGTTTGAAAATATAAATATTTTAATCAACTTCAAGAATTTTTGTTCTGGAGAATAATTCAATGCAATTTCATTATTTGTAACAGTAAATTGATAGCAATCATAAGTTAACTGATATATCTGAAACAAAATTCAAATCTAGATCTTCTAGAATAATAATCTTTGGAGCAAAAAAGTGAACGATCTACTCTGCCTAATTGTATAAGATTTAAAAATATAAAAATAAACCTTCCCTTTTAAAAAATGCACTTTTTAAGATTACATTGAATAATTAAAGGATATACGTTTTTATAATCCCATTCCAATGAAAGATCTGGTGAACTTGGTGCAAAATAAAAGATGATAAACTCAGATCTTAGGCGAAACCAGTCAAGTTGACCACCTGTTAATGTTGATTTCTATTATTAAGAACATAATTTATCCTGTATAATAAAAGGGAGCAAAATCATTATAACTTGACCACCTGTTTATCTTGTATGTTAACTTCTAAAAGAAGTCAAATTTGTCTAATAGCATTATTGAATTTTGTTCTTAACTCTTCATAACTTGACAAGAAAAACAATGACTTACCCTTTTATAAGTTGACCTCATGTCTAATTTGACCACTAAAGCAATTCATCATAAGTGGTCAACTTACGCACTAGTTAGGATGCTATTGAATGCTATTCTAAATCCTTTATCCTAAATCCTTTCCTGCAACACCTTCAATTGGAATTGCATTTTTTTTTACGTTGAATCTTTACTAATTTCTTTATTACCTATTTTTAATAAACTTCTTAAACAAAAAACAAAACAAGAAATATTTCCGTTATTCAGATAGTTCTAGATAGGCTCCTTAAAAAGAATCGATGAAAAATAAATTATAGAGCTTTTAATGAATTGAATAGATTTTGGAGTCACTGGACAAGAAGTTATAGTTTTTCTCCTCATAAAATTCAATGAGATTGTTGACCCATAGATAAAATACTCTCTTCTGATTATATTGAAATACCTTTGTGTTTAAAAACTTCAAAACTAATAAAATTATGGATTAAGCTAATAAATAATGGAAACATAAAAGTTACATTTGGCCCATCGCCAAACATCTATAAAATGAACTCAATCATTTTTTAAAAAAATTACATGCTTGAATGATTTCTTTAAAAAAATCTGCTCACTTAAAAATGTTTGATAGAGACTTTCTGGCCGATTAATTTCGTGAATTAATCCCCTCCCCCGTAGTTTAAAAGTATTTTCATCACATTATCTTTTATAGCACCAATAGTTTTTGTGAGGTATATGAAATATGCAGTTTGAGACTGCAAGTTGTTTTAAATCAGCTATTTGTTATTTTTTTTAGTTAATTTTCAACTTTTGTTGAGTGTTTAAGCTTTTCAATTGTGCGTAAACTGTGTTAAATTTCATAATGCCACTTACACAGAAAAGCTGCTGAAAGACAAATTTCATGGTTTAAATATTACATATAGTCATTTTTTTAAAAATGAGGGATTATTTACCCGATTTAAACTAAAGCGATTTTTTTTTGAGGCTTGCACATTAATTTTTGAAACCTGAAATTGTTCGATTAGGAAAGACCTCAAGTACCCTTAACAGAGTTTTTTCGAAGCTCTTTTGCCAACGAAAATGAGAAAGCCTCAGCTCAAGTGCCCCAGAGACAAAACTACAATTTTTAACTATATGTCCCATCTAGCCATCCATACGCCATAAAAAGTTATCTGGACTTTAGAATGAACTAATAACTGAAGTAATTTAAGATATTCCTGGATAATCTGGTTGGTAGGACGTTAGGCTCTTGATCGTGAATTCGAATATCCCGACCGAAGAATCTCTGTGTATTAAATGGCTACTGGTATACGTTTAATACGTCTGGTTCACAAAGTCCTCCTATGTTCCCATAACAAATCAACACCTCTGGGGGTACTGTATTGGAGATGGATCATTCCCTGGTTCAGGTCATAATTAAGATCTGTGGATGAATGAGTGGAGTATGAATGGGTTCTCCCAGTAAAACGGGATGTAACGTGTATGGGGTAAAATCGTATTCTTGGCCATAGATGACGCTACTGATAAACAGGAAACGCACCCACCCTCTGCCTTAAAAATTCGTTTGGATTCCTATGGCAGACTTGCAGATATTGGCAAGTGCCATTGACGTAGTAAGAACAACAAATATCTTAAATGTTACGAAAGATTTTTAATAATCACCAAAGTGTTGAGGTTTTTCCACCTAGATAAAAAACTTATCAAAATCAACGATTAACTCTGAATTGTTTAAATATTTAAAAACAAATCGATCACAAACGCTTTCTACTTTCACGAAAATGTGGCTATTCTAACCTCATATTATTTACAAAAATAGTATATTTTTCGCAAAAAAAGCGTTATCTCATGTTATAACAGAACCTTCAAAAATCAACCTTAAAAGAATACCATTGTTTTCTAACAAATTCGAAATGCATTTGAATGAGAATTAATTAGGGGGGCTAGCAGGGTGCGGTGCCTCCTAGTCGTTAAAAAATTCGCTTTCATATTATACAAAAACCGTCTGTTAACCTCCAGGACTTATCTAATACCAGGACTTATCTTATGTGAATCACAGATCCATTTAAATTGGTTAAAAGTAACCTCCACCTGCCACAATGCACTTGTTTATTTGGATGTAAAAGTTTCAGAAACAAGTTTTAAAGACCTTTTTTAAGAATTCTCTTCAATTCTGTCAATCTTAATGACTTCAAAATCTTCTAAACCTTGTCCTTTTAGCAATTTTTTTCAGTTTTGGGTGCTTTGAACTTTTTGGACAGCATTTTACAAAGGACTTTAAAAGTTGTTTCTGTAACTTTTGCAGCCAGGTACCGAAGTATATTACATCAGATAGAGGTCATTTTTTTTGTATGAAATAAGTATGTAATTAACATAAATATTTTGAGAAGTTATTTAGATCAACCTTGGAAATGAATAGTCGCATAATATGTCGTTGTGTTTTCCAGTTGACCACAAAATATTGATTATTCAAAGACATGTATTGTGTTATGGCATATCAATGTTCATAGTGGGGTACTTGACAATTTGTTTTTAGAGTCAATTTTGACATTGATCCCATAATAGACGTGAGAATTTGGTGGAACTAAATACTAAGACTTCTGATATAAACTAATTAAGTACAAAGATATCAAGACAAAAAAGTTAGCGGTAAATTTTTAAATTGGCATGAATTATAAGAAAAACAAGCAGGTAAGTTTGAGAAATTCTGCTTAGTTTGGTAGAATTACTGCATAGCTGCAAAATTTTCCTTATTTTCTGCATGATTATTACGAATGTAATTATTCTTTTTATCGTGGATTTTTTTGGAAATTAATATTTATCAATTTTAAATTTTCCCCATGTTAAACAATATTATTTTATATAAATTATTTCTACTTGGTTTATTTTGCTGGCATTAACTGTTCTCTGTGTTAGGTGTATTATGCCAATATTTCATTTTTTTCACTATATCCATGAACTAAAATAGTCTAGACAGAAATTTTTTTTTTTTTTACTTAAATCCATGTTATAAAATTTTTGCTCTTCTGTTCTCCTTATAACTCAACAGCACGACGACAAGTAAAAGGTTCTAGAAAAGAACTTTTCTCCCCTTTTTTTAGCAAACGTTCTCGAATTCATAAAAAGGTTAATGTGGTAAAGTCTTTTTTACCTTTTTTTTTTATTAGAACTTCACAAAAATGGTTTATCGATTTACATCTCTTAATCCCTGTGACGTGGTGGAGGAAGTGGGAAAATAAGGTCTGCGTTCAGCGAAATCTGACTCCGGACAATCCTGGAAAAAATCATTAAATGTGCCACTCCTTATTGTCTAGATGTCCAATATCCTTACCACAGTCGATTGCTTGCCTAGAAGGGTATTCATTCGGGGGACAATCTGATATCAGTTTTTTCCCTCCTGTTTTAGATTGGTAAAAGAAGAAAATTCGGAATGTCCTAAGAAATTAAAACGATGTTTAAAAAAGCTTCAGTTCTTATTTATAGTTAAATTAAGTTAAGAACTCCAATTTAATTGTGCTTGAGTTCCGTTACAAAAATTTAAGGTATTTTAGAGGTTTATATGAGGTTGTTTTGAGGCATCAAAGTTAATTTGAGGTTTATTCGAAGTTTATTTCAAACTCAATCTTAAAGAATCAACCTCCTAAGGCGTATAATCAAGGCATATGAAGTTATTTTATTCACATTTGAGGTTGTTTTGAGGTTTATGGAAATCTACTTTAGAGCAACCAGCTTAGTGAGGTTGTTTTTGAGGTGTAGGGACTATTTTTTCTACACTTCAAGGAAATACGTATATTTGAGGTGTGAATACTTTCACCCGATCTAAAAAAAAATTTTCTCTGAGTTATATATGAGGTTGATATTATGAGGTGAAAAATGAGGTTAAAATTGGAAAATTTTTAATGAGGCTATTTTTGTTGCAAAACATAACATAATTAGCAGTATATTTGCCTCTATATTTTTGGTACAAGCTAACGGAAGCATAAAAGCCAATTCATCGTGGCTTGAGTCCAATGAATTTCAAGAGGACTATGATCTCAATATTTCCAAGTTAAGCTCCCAAAAAGTTTCATCTCTCATATGCGTAAGTGAAGTAACGACGGTATGGTAAGATATTTATTTTAGTTACGGTTTAAGTTCAATGAATTTCACGATAATTTGGGTCGCAGGATTTCTAAGCTAAATTTTTAAAAATTACCTAATGTTACGTTTTGAAGTTAAGTAAGATAAC